ATAGCACGAGATTTTGTTTCAGTCGAGAGAATGCCTTTTATTTTATAATACTCAATTCGTAGGTCGCTGAAAAGCTAAGCTTGGACGAAATGTTTTAAATTTAATAATGAAAATAACGTATAAAAATTTTGGTTGTACGACAAAAAGCCTCACAACAAAACGATGAACATATATATATATATATATATATATATATATATATATATATATATATATTACAATGAATCATTCATAAAAAAGTAGATTAGTAAAGTTAATGATATAAAATGGCGAAATCCTTTTGCAAACAAAATTTTAAAGGTTCATTAACTTAAAAATCACTGGATGAATGTTATGATTCTTGTTTTTAAAAATTATAAGCTGTCTAAGGTCCTTCTTTAATATGCAAGTACTTTCAACTGTACATTTAGTCATCTTCAGTCGTGGAAATTATTTTGTTTTTGGTAAAATCCAGGTAGCATTAGAGACGAAAACAAAAATTAAATGCGAATCGAAATATTTTTTTTTATATGAGTCATTCTTAACGGATACAAACTTTTGGTGATGCAGTCGCAACGCTAAGGTTGAATTTTTTGATGCCTTGTAATATAAATTGAACTGCACCCATATTTGATATATATATATATATATATATATATATATATATATATATATATATATATATATATAGTCAGTTGAGTCTAGTCAGTATCTTCTTCGTCACCTCATCACCTGTTGGTCGACCGGTATGACGCTTGCGTTGTATCGTAACGGTTCTTTGTTCGATTTTAGGTAGTAGATGCGCACTGTTGATGAGTCCCAAACAGGTCGAAACGGCCGTCCAATGCTTTCTGTATCCTATTGAGAATTCTTCTAGACTCAATGAATTACTATTTATTAATCCAATCTAAGCTTTCGGCCTATATAAGCCATTATCAAAGATGACAATTACATTTCAATATATTATACAATACACGGACAAAACAATAATGATAGTCTGTTTTTGTTGTATACATCGGGTCTAGAAGAATCCTCAACAGAATGCAGAGCGAGCGAGTCAGTCAGTCAAGTCAGAGTCAGTCCGAAACAGAGTCGTGTTCAGACAATTACCACTAAACCTGATTGTTCGTACTAACACTTTCTACTTCTCTGTATATATTCCTGTTTGTAATATATCTGTGTTATTCCATATCGGTGTTCGAGTTCTTCTTTATTATTTCTACCTTGGACTATCAATGTGGTACAAGGAACCGGACCATAACAGTAACTCAACGGGTTGTGCCCCAAGAGTAACATCTTTCTTTCCCGCTTAGCCACTCCTTCCTAGATCCAAGCAAGCGAGGAATTAGAATAATCTTATAGTAATTCATCGAATCTAGAAGAACAAAATGCAGAAAGTATTGGCCGTTTCGTCCTATTTGGGACTCATCAGCAGTGCGCATCCACTACCGAGAATCGATCCCGGAAAGTTTCAATACAACGTAAGGGTCATACCAACTGTACCCACGGGCCTCGGTGACGAAGAAGAAACTGAATAGACTCGATATAGTGTCGCTATTCACAAATTCCGTGGTGATACTCATCGAAGTATTCATAACCCAACGGGTTTTACTGCAAGAGCAACAGCTTTTCTTTCCTCTTTAGCCGTTCCATCGCAGAGAATTAGCTGCATCAAGCATGGATATACAAGTGAAAGAACTTTTGGGGGAATTAGAATAATCATATAGTAATTCATCGAGTCTCGAAGAATATTTAACAGAATGCAGAGAGCACTGGACGGCCGTTTCGTTCTATTTGGGACTCATCAGCTGTGCACATCCACTACATATACATATACCGAGAATCGAGCCCGGACTGTTAAGATACAACAAAAGTGTCATACCACTGGTGACGAAGAAGAAATTGACAAGAGTCGATAAAGCGCCGCTACTCACTAAATTCTGTGGTGATCCTCAAGCGGTTGCCTCCAGAGAATTAGAAGCAGGATCAAGCAAGGATATATACAAGTGATAGAAATTTAGAGGATTTGAATAATCATTTATAGTAATTAATTGAGTCTAGAAGAATCCTCAACAGAATGCAGAAAGCACTGGACGGCCGTTTCGTTATATTTTGTGACTCATTAGCCTGCGCATCCACTACCGAAGGCGCCTGGCGATTGCAATAGTATGAAACAGCTTGTCGCTTCTGACTTCAATGCTCATTTATATATATATATATATATATATATATATATATATATATATATATATATATATATATATATATATATATAATTATTTAATGAAAAACAGACCACTTTAAGGTACCATTACAATAATTTATTTCACCGAAATCCTTTTTAAAGGACTCCGGATCATCAGGTAACACTTCCAACAATGAAATGAAAGGAAAAATGGGATTAGAAATTGATGGGTAGTGTAATTTTTGTAATTTAACAGGGGTGGGAGTGAGAGTGGCAGTTACAGAGACAAGATAGAGTATAGGGAGGGGTTAATTTCATATCTCTCTTAAGCATGCATTATATTGGGGTAGGAGGAGTGACCGAACCTTGACCTATTTAGATGGTTAACTTAAAGGAAATGATATGTAGGAAAGGGAAGGGAGAAAAGAAGGGGAAAAAAGGGAGGAGACAGATGACAGTAATACAGATATATCTAAATGAGTGTTACGGCAAAGAGAGAGGGGGAGAGGGAAGTGAATCGAAAGAGGCTGTAATTTTGTTTTAACAAAATTATGTAAAAAATAGATTTCGATGCTTGATAGAAATTTAGATGTCTAAAAAATGATGAATGTTATTAATTTAAATATTTATTTTTTCAAGTAAATAGTTTAGGGACTTAATATAAGTTAACTACTATTATTATTAGTATATTTATTGAGAACATATAAAAGAAATATTTAAAATTATAAAGGTTTAATTACCCAACCAATTGTATTTCCACAATATAGAAAGAAAATTACGGTAACAATAACATCTATATTATTTTAACATCTAATCTAATTTATGAATGCAATTTTTATTTATTATTATATGGGTAAACTTAATTAAGGTTTAGGTTTCATTATTTAATAAAATTTGAGGGTAATATTAAAGATTTTGTTTTCTTCTTATATGTATCTCACAAACTTATTCATGTAAATCCATATATACATACGCTTATTAACATGTGCAAATACACACATAGACACACGTGTAACAATATACACAAATGTTCATCCATCTTCATACATAAATTATATATATATATATATACATTTCTCAATCATTACCTATATTTTAATATTTGAAATTTATTTAGATTTTAGTTAGATTCTATAGTTAAAGTTTAACTTTAGGTGACTTCTGAAGTGCCTCATTATTAAAGGAATTTCGTTAAATTTATTATTACTATTAATAGTTAAAGAGTGGGATATTTAAATTTAAATTATCAATTTTAAAATGAAACTCCCTTAAGAAGATAAAAATAAACTCTCAAAATTCTAATTATAGAACATTAAAAGAGAAAGTGATATTAAATATTAAAAAGAGTAATTTTAAAATACCATTAGAATGACCCAAGTACTTCCATTTAAAACTAATCCATACACGTATACATACACGTATACACACACACACATATATATATATATATTTATCAATCTATTTATATATCTAACTATCTATCCATCCATATATACACATATACATATAGGAATACTCATATACACATACACACCCTTATATACATATACAACCATATATATACACATACACACATACATACATAAAACATATACCTACATATATACATACGATCATATACATAAGGAAGCATATGAAAAGAATTTTACCCATGACTATCCACACATGCATATGTATTTATATTACAATGTTATACACCCATTCACACATATATATTAAAAATATTAATTCTAAGGTATATACATATATATACATATACAGATTACAAGTAATTTAATATTCAAAATACTACACATATATAAATACATGTACACACATATATATCCGTACATATACATACCATATACATATATACACATAACATCTACATACATGCACAAATACACATCTATACACATACATCCACAATTGTAAAAAAACACACACACACACACACATATATATATATATATATATAACGATACCTAGCACAAAAATAACGTTAGTATCTAAACATACCCCATACTTATATATTTATACTCACACATATGTATGTATATATACTTATACATATACACACATACCTCCATACACATGTGCCCACAATTAAAAAAGTACATATATCCACACAAGCACCGCCATCCATAATGTTCATACATATATATATATATATATATAAATAAATTCACATATAAAATGTCTTAGTTCATCCACGCACATATCAACAAGCACAGCATCCATGTATTCATACATTCATTTCAAAAAACAAAATCAATATTTTCTCTTTTTATATAGTTGTATCTAAACATACTTCGTTAAATTGAGGTGGTTTTTGTGTCTACATTTACAAATCAATTCGTTATGTTTGTTCAATAATATGTCCAGGATCCTTATGCTTTATTATTAAGATTTTTTTCCATAATGCACAAATTGCATCGGTCTCTGAAGTTTATATATATAAAAGAAAAACAGACCACTTTAAGGTTCCATTATAATATTTTATTTCACCAGATCCCTTTTAAAGGACGCCGGATCATCAGATAGCTCTTCCAAAAATGAAATGAAACGAAAAAGTTCATCTACATTTTTGTATACATACGAACAAGCACAGCATCCATGTGTTCATACATTCATTTCAAAAACAAAAGTAATATTTTCCTTTTTATATAGTTATTTCTAAATATATTTAGTTAAATTGGGGGTGGCTTTTATGTCTACATTAAAAAAACAACTCGTTATGTTTGTCCAGTATGTGTGTGTGTGTGTGTTTGTGTGTGTGTGTTTGTGTGTATGTTTTCTAGACTCGATGAATTACTATATAGTATGTTCATTATCGCATTCCCAGCGTATATTTGACCAAACTCGGGGGAGAAAAAGCTAAGTAAAACATAAGTATTGGTGGTACAGAATGGAAAGGAGAAGAACAAAGAAAATGGACGAAGCGTAGAAAAAGTGAACTAAACTGACATGAGTAAAAAAGACGCATACCATATTCATTTATTCCGTTTTCATAGGCTGCAAAATTTATACGATAGACAAAGCGAGACTTTTCTTTCACCGCTAAGCAACTGGCGTGAATATAAAACAGTCGCTCGGACAAAGGAAACGAGCGAAGGAACCAACTGAGAAACATTTGCACATGACTGCAATCATCGATATAGATACATGCAAATCTGCCATATTGCAAATATATACACCAATGGCTACTAAGAAAAAAAAAGAAGAAATATACAAAAGACGAACTACCAATATACGGCTGATTTATAGTACTACTGATTCCTCCGCTTGCAAACAGAAAGAGTTATGGCAAACCGGTAGTCCAATATTTTCTCAACACTCATATATCTGCCCACGAATTGGCAACAGTCACGTATCTTCCCGCCAATTCTTTAAAATTTCACGTAGGCGATCATGACACTTTCTTTTCGTTCTTACCCTTTCTCGGTGACGATAATAAAAAGGTTTTCTTTTACCTTTCTCTCGGTCTTTGATTTGCGAATTTTCCTTCTCCAAGAGTGCAGGACAACTCAACACCGCCGACTCAACACCGCCGGAAGAGCGCAGGGACAATTCCATTTTGGGACAACTAAAAAAGAAAATTATTTTTTAATAAAGTTAATTTATTTTTTAATAAAGTAAATTGACATACAAAAATAATTCAATAAAAAAATTTGTCTTTAATTATTTTTAATGAAGTAGACCGTAATGGAATTTATTTTTTTAATAAAGTAAATCAACATTCTAAATATATTTGAATGAGAAATAATTCAAGATTTACTTTATTAAAAAAAACAAACAAAAAAAAACTCGTTCATATTTTACATAATGTCCTTTTAAATGCTTTATTTGAAGAACAATATTCACTATTTAATGTTTTGATCCTTAATAAATTATTTTTATTCGGTTATAAACAAAAGTTGTTTTTCTGGTGATGAGATGTTTCAGTCCTGAGTTGTCTCAATCCTGAGTTGTCTTAGTCCTGAGTAGTTTTGGTCTGGAGTTGTCTTAGTCCTGAGTTGTCTTCGTCCTGAGTTGTCTTAGTCCTGAGTTGTCTCGGTCCTGAGTTGTCTTAGGCTGAGTAGTCTTGGTCCTGAGTTGTCTTAGTCCTGAGTTGTATCGGCCGTAAGTTGTCTCGGCCGTAAATTGTCTTAGTCCTGAGTTGCCTTAGTCCTGAGTTGTCTTAGGCTGAGTTGTCTTGGTCCTGAGTTGTCTTAGGCTGAGTTGTCTTGGTCCTGAGTTGTCTTGGTCCTGAGTTGTCTTAGGCTGAGTTGTCTTGGTCCTGAGTTGTCTTAGTCCTGAGTTGTCTCGGCCGTAAGTTGTCTCCGTCCTGAGTTGGCTTAGTCCTGAATAGTCTCGGTCCTGAGTTGTCTTAGTCCTGAGTAGTCTTGGTCTTGAGTTGTCTTAGTCCTGAGTAGTCTTGGTCCTGATTTGTCTTGGTCCTGAGTTGTCTTGGTCCTGAGTTGTCTTAGTCCTGAGTTGTCTCGGCCGTAAGTTGTCTCGGCCGAAAATTGTCTCAGTCCTGAGTAGTCTCGGTCTTGAGTTGTCTTAGTCCTGAGTTGTCTTAGCCCTGAGTAGTCTCAGTCCTGAGTTGTCTTTGTCCGGAGTTGTCTTTGTCCTGTGTTGTCTCGGTCCTGAGTTGTCTCAGTCTTGAGTTGTCTCGGTCCTGAGTTGTCTTAGTCCTGAATTGTCTTAGTCCTGAGTTGTCTCTGTCCTGATTTGTCTCAGTCCTGAGTTGTCTCGGTCTTGAGTTGTCTCAGTCCTGAATTGTTGTGGCGCTCAGTCGGCGGTGTTGAGTCGGCGGTGTTGAGTCGGCGGTGTTGAGATGTCCTTTCCCGTTCTCCAATACTTATTTCCACACAAGGCTCAAGCCTAACCTACCCTGCTAAATGAGGAGAAGATAGATGGATTAATTTGTATTTTTTAAAATGTTTTGACCCTGCCCGAGAGGCGGTAATGGCTTTTCACAAATTCCCTTACGTCATCATTTGTGAATTACCATACCTTCTTGGGAAATGGAAAAGCAATCGAGTCTTTTCCCGTTGCCATCTGACCGATTTTGAATTCAGAGTAGTCCCCCTCAGACTGGCTGCTATCCAAGGTCCACAAGTTAATAAGGTTGCATACAACAAGAATAATACTAGTTCGGAACCCGGCTATTTTGTTCTCGCCAACCCTTAATCGATTATTACTTGTTTCGATTACTGTCGGAAATCTTTTCACGTCAAAATCTTCTGAATTTTATGCACAAGGAATCAAACAGTTAACTGATAAGTGGAAAGAAGTCATTACTTAATAATAGTGAACAGATAACTGTACTTACTAAATATATTTTAGTTATACGAATCAAAGAAGAAAAGATCAGACAAATATATACAAATTAATTTAATGTGGAATTATAATTTATTTCGTTAACGTAGATTGAAGTGAGGGGATCCAAAAAAAATTTGTGCCATCTGGAATAGTTATGGCGGTGGAAATTAGTGAACTTCTGAAATAAGCTATACAGTTAAAACAAGCATTCGGCCAGACAAATATAGACAAATCTACATGATTTGAAATTTGTTTCGTAAACGTAGATTACCAAGAATGATTTTTACGATTTTGTTCCAAATACATGTGCCGGTGGGGATTAACGAACTTCTGATAATAAGCTAAACGGATCAAACAATATTTAGCTAGACAAATATATATGAATTTATTTAATACGAAGCTATTTAATTTGTTTCGCTAACGTAAGTTGGCGTTACGAGATCGAAGAATACTTTAAGCCTAATATATATATATACGTTCTAGAATAGGCAGGCTGGTGAGAATTGGTAAATTTCTGAAATATGATTGACGGTTCCAGTAAGTATTGGGCCAGACAAATATATACGAATTTATTAAAAGTGAAAAAAAATTATTTGGTTTCACAAATGTAGATTAACATTAGCGGATCCAAGAAAGATTTACGGTTTTGTAACAAATATATGTGCCATCTGGAATAGGCATAACGATGGGAATATTTAAACATCTGAATAAGCTATACGATTCAGAGAACCTTGAGAACTGATGTATTATGGAGATGAATTATTTGAAGAATTAACACTATTAATCTACAGACCACATTTCATCGTCCAAGCCTCTTCTACTTATACAGAGACGTACTCTAAGGATGTATTATTACAAGACTAAACACTCAGAAACGTAAATTCAAGTTATTGGAAGAATAAACATTAAACACTAAAATACAAGGTCCATCAACGATGAGTCCTAATCTACGCATCCAAAGTATGAGGAGGATAAATTACTGGAAGAAAAAACACCAGAAATTAAGATAAAAGATTAATCAATTTTGCAACATTTACTACGCCTCCGACGACCGATAACAATAACATATTTTATGAATAAATATTAAACTAAAATACAAGATGCATCAAAGTTGCCAAATTTTCAACGCCTCCGACGTGCAAAAGCTGAATTATTAGAAGAATAAAAACTATGAATGAAAAGAAAAAGCCTAACATTGTCAGTAATTCTATGTCACAGGCAGACGATAATAATGAATTATTGAATGAAAAAATCTATAAACAAAAACAAAAGACATAAAGACGTTTCCAATAATTCTACGCCTCCGAACTACGATGAAGGTGAATTATTGGAAGAATAAACACTGTAAAAGAAAAACTCATGACATATAGACGTTTCTACTAATTCTACGTCTCCGACGAACGATGGTGATGAATTATTGGATAAAAACAAACACAGTAAACGTAGAACTCACGACATATAGACGTTTCAACAAACACTACGTCTCCGACGTTCGATAAGGATGAATTATAGGAAGAACAAACACTGTCGACGAAAACACAAGACATATAGATGTTTTTACCTGTTTCAGGTCTCTGACGTACGATGAAGATGAAACATTGTAAGAATAAACGCTAAAACAAAAACTTACGACCTATAGACGTGTCTAGTAATGCTACGTCTTCGACGTAAGATGGAGATTAATTATTGCAAGAAAAAACAATGTAAACGAAAACTCACGACATATAGACGTTTCTACTAATTTTACGTCACCGACTTAAGTTGAAGATGAATTACTAGAAGAATAAAAAATGTAAGCAAAAATTCACGACATATAGATGTTTCTACGAATCATACGTCTACGACGTACGATAAGGATGAATTATTGGAAGAAAAACACTGTAAACGAAAACTCAGGACATATAGAGGTTTCTTATAATTCTACGTCTCCGACGTACGATGAATTTGAATTATTAGAAGAATAAACACTGTAAACGAAAACTCACGACATATAGACGTTTCTAATAATTCTACGTCTCCGACGCACGATGAATTTGTATTATTGGAAGAAAAACACTGTAAACGAAAAATCAGGACATATAGAAGTTTCTAATAATTCTACGTCTCCGACGTACGATGAGTTTGTTTTATTGATAGAATAAACACTGTAAAACAACAAGCACCATATAGACCTCTCTAAAAATTCGACGTCTCCGACGTACGATGAATTTGTATTATTGTTAGAATAAACACTGCAACAGAACAAGGACCATATAGACGTTTCTAATAATTCTACGTCTCCGACGTACGATGAATTTGAATTATTGGTAGTATAAACACTGTAAAATCTTCTAGCTATGTATAGATGTTTCTAATAATTCTACGTTTCCGACGTACGATTAATTTGTTTTATGTGGAGAATTTACACTGCTAAAGTAAACTCACGACATATAGATGTTTCTAATAATTCTGCGTCTCCGACGTATGATGAATTTGATTTATTGGAAGAATAATCACTCTAAAAGAAAACTCGTGACATATAGACGTTTCTAATAATTCCACGTTTTCGGCGTATGATGAATTTGAATGATTGGAAGAATAAACGCTGTAAAAAAAAACTTACGACATATAGACGTTTCTAATAATTCTTCGTCTCCGAAGTACGATAAATTTGAATTATTGAATTAATAAACACTGCCAAAGTAAACTCACGACCTATAGACGTTTCTAATACTTCTACGTCTCTGATGTACCATGTATTTGAATTATTGGAAGAATAAACTCAGTAAAAGACAACTCACGTCATATAGAGATTTCTACTAAGTATACGAATCTGACGTACGA